AAAAAAAAAAAAAAAAAAAAAAAAAAAAAAAAAGCAAGGGCACACTGTCGAATATAGTATGAGTGTCGAATATAGTATGAGCATTAAGAGCAACCGACGCAACACGCAATCAAGAATCAAGAATCAAGAAGCGTTTGCCCCGAGCCTCTGGTCCCTTCCAGATGCTATAGCAGAGCTATCCTGATCGTTATTCCACGTCAAATACGTGTGGTCACCGAGTTTCCTAGATTTTGTCAGATGCAAGTTACAGTGAAGGGTCAAAAGAGAAGAAGCGGATGAGAGTGGAAAGAGACGAAATGCTAAAGTTATAATAAATAACTTACCTGGGTCTAACAAGATGTGCAATGGTAAATAGTGTCCCAAGCAGCACACAAGTGCCACCGACTACAACATAGGCGATCCCCATGAACGGGTTTCTACCGCCAATAACAGTCCGAGTAGATATGAGGATCCATTTCTCGCCCCCGTATTCGGTGACAGGGAATCCTGGTACTCTATTCAGCACAAAGCATAACGATTAGGGCGGGGTGGTTAGACATACGGTCTTGAATACTCAACCGATAATTTCCAGGTGCCAATTCTGTCGTATCATTCCTTCGGGCGAGTTTGCTAAAAGTTGGCAACGCAGCAGTCCTCATCCAAACCATGAAATCTTCATCTTGGCCCAAGTCAGGGAAATGCTCCTCAGTATAACCATTTGGAAATTTTTCACGCCAATTTTGCGGCGGCACAACTTCCCATGGTTTGTATTCTGTTTTCTTTATAATTTCCTTGTCACTTGCCCAGGCAATGCCCTTATTTGTCATGTTATATTCCATCTCTCCATTCACACTCCCAACCTGCCAAGGGTTGTTGATTGTATCATTGAACATTGAATTTGCAATCAATCCACAAGGATAGTATGCTTTCTGTGTGTCTGGATCAATTGTGAGAGGCTCACATGTGCTCCCTTTGATGGTCTTGTTCTCAACGGCTTTCCCTTTCATCTGATCAAGATACATAGACTGCACATATCTTCGGTGATTTTGATAGAAGTTGGTTAAGCGGTAGTACATGAACACAGGTGGGCCCATGCTTTCAGGTATCGAGAATGTCAGAGTACAGGTGGTGGTATTTTCCGTGGTATTCCGCTGCCAAAATGGAGCGTCCATTGCGGATGATTTGAATGTCGACGTATATTTGTCGCCGGGCATTTGGGACGATGAAGGAACCGTGGGAGCCTTGTCAGAACATTCTGAATAATCGATCGCCAATTCTTGCACCTTGGTGACAGCATATATAATTAGACTACACTGTAAGCGGGTGGAGGGAATGGACACACTTACCTGTGAACTCGCCCATAGAAGGACACCACCAATAGGAGCAAAGATAACCCCAACGATAAAGAAGAGGGGCAGTACGCTCTTTGGGTTCAAAATCGGTCTGTTTAATGAGTGTCAGAAATTTCGAATTCGTCTTTTGGCAAAATTATATGCTTACTGCCAGGCCTTGAGGCGTTGCTGTCTAAAAGCAGTGTCTTCGTAACGAGAGAAATTCCGTAAGTATCAAGAAGCAAGAATTGGAGGGGAGTGTTGGGGTGACGGTCTCACTGGCTGGTCTTCTGCTTTTAGGCTTCTTGTCGCCATCTGTATCTTTCGTGGGATCTTGATTATCAAGAGATCCGGCACGGTTGACATCTATCCGCGACATTGTCGCTTAGATCTTGTTTTTCTTCTTCTTCTTCTTCTTCTTCTTCTTCTTCTTCCTCCTCTTCTTCCTTTTCAAATCCGGTTTATACAGCAGTTAAAGGGACTGTGTTTGCTCAGTGATGTCTAGTGGTTAGAAGGGTGGTGTTGGAAGATGGTTCGCACGGCGACACTCGGCATTGCGGCCCACACACTCCGTCTCGGCTTGCTGTACTATGTACTCCGTATGTACTCCGTAGATCGACGTCAATTTAACTACTAGTACAGTAGTACTCTAATACACCTTACAAGTGAACGCAGTCTGCTACTCTCATTATTGAGCAATTGAAATATTAATGCAACCAGGACTAGTTTTCTGTTTCTGATGCTGAACTAAATAAGCACCTCTTTCTATTTGATCTATCTACCCCTGTACATTGGAGCAGAATATAAACTACTGTATCTATAACAGGCGTCTTTCAGACAATGAGAAACAATCACCATGATTTTCTATCGCTTTAAAGCACTACAATGCTACACTAATCTTCCATTGTGTATACTAGGTAGTTAGCACTGCGTAGTAGCATAGTACGTAACTACCTTCATTCCATTAGTCAATCCTCAGCTAACAGTTCTACGGAGTACATAGTATATATGGAGTCGTAGGTCTTTACCGCTCTGTCTCCACTCTTTTTCCTCTCTTTAACCCCCTCTCACCCCCCAAAAAAAAAGAAAAAGAAAGGAAAAAAAGAAGGTTGGCACCTATTCAATTCTAAATATCTATGCAGAAGCCAAATGATCATTTGCTACACTATGCAACCCACTTAACCATGTGGTAAGCAATCATCTATGCACACAACAATAGCAACATAAACTATGGAACAAACAAAGAGGGCTCCCAATTACCAGCAAACGCCAACGGTCGAGCTAAAAAATGCACCAACTAGAATAATTAATTTCGCTGGAGAACAAAAGTCTCGAAAGAAAGACAGAATAAACTCGGGGGGAAACGATAACGCTAACATGGGAAAGTTCTGAATCACGAAATTGAATTGGGTATACTGTCCTCTCACCTCCGATGTTGCTGGAAAAGCTCTGGATCAAACCAACCGACACGCTCATATGCAGTCCATAATTTGCTTGCCTTATTGACGTCGATTTTGCAAGCTTGTTGCGCGTCTGTTTTGCGAAATTCTTTCCCAACGTTCAGAGCCCTGACACGAGCCTCGAAAATGCGGCGCTTGCTGCATAGATACGTTGCACATGAGAGCCTTAAAGTAGCAGCAAGATTGAGCTCGGCGGGACTAAGTAGGTGCCGGTCTGGATCGTTGCTCAAATCTAACATTTGCCCCTTCCAGTCCGCCTTTAATGCTTTTGCATTGCCACCGAGAGTTGAGATGGGTGGGGACAAGTCTTCGAGGGAATTGTAATCTGTATCATCGCGATTTGTTCCTATGGCCCGAGGCGCCTTGGAAATTTGCGGTACAGATGAAACGAAGGAGTCAAGGGCCTTATGCTTTGGGGTGGACCGCGGTGTACGTTTGACCCGAGGTGTACGTTGCACACGCGGCTGAGAAGTAACTGCTTTTTTGGCGGGTGCCGGGGCAATCCTTTTTAATTTCGCCTCCAGAGCTCCAGGACGGCAGCGATTCATCATGGCCAACTGACGTTCTAACGTCTCACGTTCCTCTTTAGCCCAGGCTACTGGATTGCGATTATACTGAGTCGAAACAATCGGTACACATGAAAGAGCTAGGAGATACTCATCACGCGTCGGTTTGTTCAATTTATTGTCAAATCTTGCCATATGTGTATTGATATGTTGTTCGATCAGTGCTTCTGCTGTTGGGGGAAGCATTGGTCCAAACAATGGCTCATCAGTGGCAACATCAGCAACAGGATCATTGCGAGGAAAGAGCACAGGATCTGTGGAAGATCCGATCACATCGCTGTCGATTTGCTCAGAAACATGCGACTTCCTTTTTTTGTTCCCAGTGTAGGGAGTGACTGGTGGAGATGGCAAATCCATTTCTGACTGTGTCCGCTTCCGATCAGCTGAGATGGGAGGAAGTTTGATCTCGTGGTTTGAGGACAGATCCTGTGACACTGCAAAGTGTGAAAACGGGGGGCTGAACGTCTCAAACGGTTTTGCTTCTGGAGGGGACATGAGGCTGGAGACAGACGGTAGACGATTCATGCTAGCTTTCTGGCTTTTCTCCAATTGCAAAATGCCATTGAACGAGGTCATTAGAAATGAATATGCAGCCCGAACAGGGTTGATGCGAAAACCAGAGATATTAGTTTATGATGAACTATAAGACGCGACCGGCAATATGGTGGTTATTCTGATAGTCCTTGAATGCCAACGGACGATAAAGGCCTGAATGTGTATAATGGAAGTCAATGGAAATGGACTTGCAATATTGGTAAACACATGTGAATATGATTTGTCAGAACAGCTTTCTTTGTCTCTGGTGGCAAATGACAACTGAGTTGACTGATGTCTGACTCAACCTTGGAAAGATACTGGGAGTAGTAAGGAAGGACAGATATCATTCATGAGGGAAATGCTGTTTTTATGGTGATGAGGAAGTAACAGCGCCTCGCGATGAGGAGGTGAACTATGAGTCAATGCGCGCCGCCAATGATTGGGGCTGATGGTGTTGTAACGTTGATACCTGATAGGAATAAAACTGCGGGGTGGCGCGTGGCGGTAAGTGGCATCATTTTATGAACTGTAAACATACTCTGTGCTTGAAATATTAATACATATTCTCTATTATTTTTCCAATTTGCTAAAATTGCGCTTCATTTCCAATTGAATGAGGGGCGGGATACGAATTGATGGTAAGTACTAATCCAGAGTGTTCATCACATGATAAAGGGCCGGTATGGTAGTCTATCTACGGAGTACTCCGTACTTCATGTGTACTATGTATTATTATTATCTCTATCACTGATCATGCTCTAGTGGAGATACCACATGACAATCATGCCAAGGTAAGTGAAGGTGGAGAAAATGCCTGTTGCTAATGCCTGTGACCCCTTGTAAGGTGGTGGGTAAGTAATTGATGATAGTCGCTCTCAATTCTCGAAGACTGACCAAGGAAAGGAAGAAGAGGATGTGATGGTGATGATAAAGTCCATGTGTACATGCTACATATCATTACCACTGTCCATCCAGGCTCCGCAAGAGTCTTCAGTCCTGTAAGTTTTCGGTTTTTTGCAATATAAACTTGATATAATATCACCATGCCCAATGGTACCTGAATAGTATGTGGTGGTTCAGAATATATCTACATGTGTATAGTAGCTGCCAGTCTGGTACTATTGGTGCCTAAACTCCATTGTAGTGTATTATATGACATCATTGTCTTATGTCAGACATCCAAAACAGAATAACTAGTTAAAAGAATGTGTTACATATACTCTCCACACATGACTTGCTACTCATATCACATTATCAGTTTCAGAACTGTCATATTAAAATACTACTGTATTTTACCAATGGACTAATACAAGATTACCCAGCTATCATGTGACTCGATATTAAAGAAAAAAAAGAGGGGGAAAGGAATGTGGGGCAGGGCAGCCAATCCACGCAATGCATTGGCAATCAGGGCTGAGTGTCAGCCCGCTATCTATTCACGTGACCTGGCACGTGACTCACGGGAGATATCTCTCCACGCCAACGCCGATCCTGTGCAGCTCTCCGAGCTGCGGACGACTTCAGGAGCAGGGATGGCCTATTAATGTGATCCGATGGGTAGCTAATTTCACCCAAGGTCGAACAGCCAGCCTCCGCCTAGGGAACCACATGAGTCAGACTTTCCAGGTTCCAGCGGGTCTCCCACAAGGCTCCCCAATCTCTCCAATCCTCTTCATGTTATTCATTGAACCCATCTTCAAACAAAGCTCTCTCCGCACCCGACGTGGCCGATTTGGATACGCTGACGACATATGCCAGCTTGTGGCTTCCCCCTCCTTGGAAGAAAACTGTACGGCGCTCCAGCACTGCACAGAGGAGCTCAGGCAATGGGG